CTGTAGTTTAGGAGTCACTTTCTTCTTCTGAAGTTTATTCCAAAAAGAAAATATGTAAACTGAATAAGGAAAAACAGTACATTCCACCAGAATGTTACTACAGGAAACAAACTATCTTTAAATCTCATACATGTTGAATTATATTGTTCTCTCTAGTTAGGTAAAATGGAATATTATAAATGTATTGGAAGAATAAAAGCTATGTAATTTATGATAGTATTAGCTATCACTATAGAAATTATAGTGATTTTTTTCCCTTTTTTACCCCCATTTTTTTTACCATTTTTTCTTCCTCCTCAATGTTAGAAAGCAAAGGTAACATAATTAATGCCACAACACACAAGAAGATTCAGATATAGTTAAAGGGCCATCAGTATTAAAAATATGTCTTTAAGTTTTTCTCTAGAAATTTCTCTCTATAACTCTATGGTTAATAGTAGCCTAAAAGTCTCTATACAGCTTGTTCATTAAAGATCACTTCTTTGTAGTACTTCAGCTGAACTATCCAAAAAATAAAAAAAGCTTTTAAAAAATAAATACATTAAGAAAAAAGAAATATCACAAGCAGAACTTCCCTGGTGATCCAGTGGTTAAGAATCCATTTGCCAATTTAGGAGACACGGGTTCAAGCCCTGGTCCAGTAAGATTCCACGTGCCTCGGGGCAGTGCAGCCTGTGTGCCGTAACTCCTGAGCACGCTCCGGAGCCCGAGCTCCACAGTAAGATAAGCCACTGCAATGAGAAGCCTGCACACCACATCAGGGTAGCCCCTGCTCACCACAACTAGAAAAAGCCCACGCACAGCAACAAAGGCCTAGTGCAGCCAAAAGTAAATAGTAAAATTATGTTTTAAAATCACAAGCAGATGCTATTTTCATATTAAAACTTGCTTTTATTAATACCATGATAGTTTGAATTTTTTAAAAGGAAAATTCCTCAATATCCTAATGATTTTTTTTTTTTTTTGCAGAAATAGAAGAATCCATTCTAAAGTGCATATGGAATTTCAAGAGACAACAAATATCCAAAGGGATGGCCAAAGAGCCAGTCTTGAAGAAGAACAAAATTCAGGTCTCATACTTTCTAATTTCAAAGCTTACTACAAAGCTACAGCAATCAAAACATCATGATATTGGCATAAATACAAAGAGTTAGACCGGTAGAACAGAAAAGAGATCCCAGAAATAAAACCTCGTATATATAGTCACATGATTTTCAGTAAGAATGTCAAGGCCATTCAATGGAAAAAGGATAGTCTTTTCAACAAATGATGCTGGGAAAACTGGATATCCAGAATGAAGATGGACCCTTACCTTATACAAAAATTAGCTCAAAACGAATCAAAAACCTGAATGGAGAGCTAAAACTCCTAGAAGAAAACATAGGGGAAAAACTTCATGATATTGGATTTGGCAATGATTTCTTGGATAGGACACCAAAAGCACAAGAATAAAAGAAAAAATAGATAAATTGAACTATATCAAAATTTAAAACTTGTATGTATCAAAGAACAGAATTGACAGAAAAGCAATCCACAGAATGGGAGAAATTATTTGCATATCATATGTTTGGTAAAGGATTAATATCCAGAATATAGAAAGAATTGCTATAACTCAACAACAACAAAAACACTTTATAATGGCCAAAGGACCTAAATAGACATTAATTTTTTAAATTTTATTGACGTATAGTTGAGGTACACTATAAGTTACAGGTATAAAATATAGTGATTCACGATTTTTTAAGGTTATACTTCATTTATAGTTATATAAAATATTGGCTATATTCCCTATGTTGTACAATATATCCTTGTAGTTTATACCTAATAGTTTGCACCTTTTAATCCCATACCTTTATGTTACCCCACTACCCTTCCCTCCCCCCACTGGTAACCACTAGTTTGTTCTACATAGATGTGAATCTGCTGCTTTTTTGTTGTTGTTATATTCACTAGTTTGTTGTATTTTTTCGATTCCACATATAAGTGATATCATACAATATTTTTGTCTTTCTCTGCCTGACTTCTTTCACTAGCATAATGCCCTTCAGGTCCATCCATGGAGTTACAAATGGCAAAATTCAGGGGTTTTTTATGGCTCTGTGTGTGTGTGTGTATATGGGCTCAGTCGTGTTCAACTCTTTGCAACCCTATAGACTATAGCCAGTGAGGCTCCTCTTTCCATGGAATTTTCCAGGCAAGAATAGTGAGTGGATTGCTATTTCCTACTCCAGGAGAGCTTCACAATCCTGGAGTTGAACCCAAGTCTCTTTATATCTCCTGCATTAGCAGGCAGATTCTTTACCACTGAGCCACCTGGGAAGCCCTTTGCCACATTTTTTTTATCCATTCATCGACAGTGAGGTTGCTTCCATATCTTGGAAATCATAAATAATGCTGCTGTGAATGTTGGGGTGCATGTATCTTTTTGAATTAGCTTTTTTTTCCCCCCCAGATACACACATGGGGTTGCAAAAGAGTCAGACATCACTTAGCAACTAGTTAAAAAACAACACAAACCTAAATAGGTATTTCTAAGGTATACAAATGGCCAGCAAGAACATGAAAGGACACTCAATAGTGCTTATCATAGAAGTCAAAACCACAGGGAGATACCACTTCACACCTATTTGGATGGCTATCATCAAAAACAGTAACAAGTATCAAAAAGGGTGTAGAGAAATTGGAATCCTGTACACTGTAAAATGATTTAGGTACAATGGAAAACAGTTTTTCAAAAAATTACAAATAAATTATCGTATTATCCAGTAATTTCAATTCTGGGCATATACCCCAAAGAATTGAAAGCAGGAACACTTACATTTATAGTAGCATTATTCACAATAGCCAAAAGGTGGAAACAACCCAAGTATTCATTGACAGATGAATGGATAAACAATGTGGTCAGTCATTCAGCCAGTTCAGTCGCTCAGTCATGTCCGGCTCTCTGCAACCCCACGAACTGCAGCACGCCAGGCCTCCCTGTCCATCACCAACTCCTGAAGTTTATTCAAACTCATGTCCATCAAGTCAGTGATGCCATCCAGCCATCTCATCATCTGTTGTCCCCTTCTCCTCCTGACTTCAATCTTTCCCAGCATCAGGGTCTTTTCAAATGAGTCAGTTTTTCTCATCAGGTGGCCAAAGTATTGAAGTTTCAGCTTCAACATCAGTCCTTCCAATGAACATTCAGGACTGATTTCCTTTAGGATGGACTGGTTGGATCTCCTTGCTGTCCAAGGGACTCTCAAGAGTTTTCTCCAACACCACAGTTCAAAAACATCAATTCTTCAGTGCTCAGCTTTCTTTATAGTTCAACTCTCACATCCATACATAACTACTGGAAAAACCATAGCTTTGACTAGACGGACCTTTGTTGGCAAAGTAATGTCTCTGATTTTTAATATGCTGTCTAGGTTGGTCATAACAATGTGGTATATACATACAAAGGCTTTCCTGGTGGCTCAAATGGTAAAGAATCTGCCTGCAAGGCATGAGACCCAGGTTCAATCCCTGGGTCAGGAAGATCCCTTGGAGAAGGGCATGGCAACTCACTGTAGTATTCTTGCCTGGAGAATTCCATGGACAGAGGAACCTGGTGGGCTATAGTGCAGAGGGTCACAAAGAGTCGTACATGATTGAGTGATGAATACATATAATGAAGTTACTCATCCTTTTTTAAAAAAGGAAATTCTGACACATGCTCCAACATGGATGAACCTTGAAGACACTATGCCAAATGAAATAAGCTAGTCACAAAAGGACATATACTATATGATTCCATTTATATGAGGTACTTAGAAAAGTCAAATTCATAGAGACAGAAAGTGGAGGTGGTTGGCAGGGGCAGTGGGGAAGGAGGATAGACAGTGGTTGTTCAGTGGGAACAGAGTTCCGGGTTTGGAAGATGAGAAGCTTTCTGCAGATGGATGTATGGTGGTGATAATACAAAAGGTGAATGCATTTAATGCTGATGAATTGTACACTTAAAAATGGTTACAATGGTAAATTTTATGTATATTTTGCCACAGTTTTAAAAACATCAGAAGTACCACTTTGTTATCCCCCAAAAAAGCAAATAAGAAGATACAAATTACCCTCAATCCTTTATCTAGAGAATACCACTTTTTTTTAATAAAAAGGTAAAATTCCATGTAATAAATTGTAAAAGTACAGTCATATTTTCCTTGTGGTTACCTAGCTGAACATCACAGTCATCCATGGATTTAAACATTTTCATGACTTGTGTGGTTTTTTCTTCTTTTTTATCCACATTGGGATATTAATAGCAAGACAGCTGCTATGTCCCAGATTAGAAATTAGATAAGGCCACAGGTTCCCCCCTGCGGTGCTGTGATTCTGTAGTGTATAATTTCTTAAATTCTGAAAGACTGCAGGGTTTTGGTACTGTGCTAATAAAGACCCTGGGCAAAGACCTTAAACGGCCCACCCCTATATGTAATCAGGTCCCGGAGAAGGGTCCAGCTTTCTGTGAGCCCGTTGAGAAGCTGAGTTCCATAAAACGTGGGCGAAGTGATTGCTAAGGCATAACTGCGTGGTTGTTCTCTCACTGTGGTTATTTATCCAGCTCCGTGAATTTCACCCTCTCAACATAAACCAGCTAGAGACCCAGGACTGACAGAGCATCTGTAGCAGACCTGACACCAGACGTCTTTTTACAGACTCCTCTTGTCCAACGCTGCTGTTTATTTATGTAAATTTTGTTCACCTCCCCACTTCATCCTATGATTGTCTCCTCCACAGATGGCCTCTCCAAGAATTTCTCAAGCTTGAGTGAAATCCCTCTATGTAATCTTGTCTGGAGGATTGACTGGCAGGGCTATTTGCATGAGGGACCGAGGCTCTTCCTGGGAAAGAGCTCGTCCCCGGGGGAGGAAGGCCGCCATTTTGGTCGAAGGACAATGGGGCAGGGTCAGAGGGCAAGGGTCAGTCTGAGTGCAGCCCCAGCGCCTGTCCCTCCAACGCGCCCCCCCCTGCCCCCCCAGCTCAGCCCCCTCAACCGACGCCTGGGTCCCAGGGTGAAGGACTGCCATGAAAGAACCCAGTAAGAACTAGAGGAGGGTACATTAGAATGCAGCAGTAAGCGGGAAAGGCGGGCAGGGGCAGCCCCTCTCTTTCGGGCATCCTGCTCCCAGGATGGACGCATGGGCTGAACCCCCTCCAAGAAGACATCAACTGACAAGACACGGAGGAGAGGGCCCTGGATTGCAGACAGCCGTGCGGGCTGTACTTTCAGAACAGCAGGCCTCACCTCAGTAGGCTGGAGGGGGAAAGAGCAGGGGCAAAGGTCAAATGGTAGCCCAAAGCGGGGTGTGCAACGCGTGTGGGCCACCCTCTGAGGACTCCCTTGCTCTCGGGAGAAACCTAAGGGGCCTGGCACCCCCACAGAACAGGTGGGGGCGGGGGCAGGAGAGGGAAACGATAGTTTCTTTGATCTTATTTTTATCCTCCCACTGGTGAGGGCTGGGAAATACAAGTAATACTCTTTCAAAGAGAAAATATTGCCAGTCAGCAAGATAAGGCCATATCGCCTAGATAAAATTTATAGGGGTGGTTTGTTTGAATCATATAACACGAAATTCCTTTGGATTTGTTGTGCTTTTTGATGTATTCATTTCAGTCTCTGACCTAAGTGAATTCTATATTGATGGCATTTGACCAAATTAGAACAACTAGAGTTTCAGTTTTTGAACAAAAACACAAGAAAATCTCAGCCATTATGAACCTACAGGGCATGAAGTAACTCAAAAATACTTTAAAAAACAGAGATTTTTCCATTGTAGGGGTTTGGGAGTAGGATGAACTCCCAAAGTGAATTCATTTAGAATTCAAATGAATTATCAAGGCCTTCTTCTCTTAAAGAGAATATAATATGCATAAGTTAATGTCTTTTTGAGAACTTGGAATGGTCATTCTAAGTATCAACTCTTTGGATGTACTGAAGATGCTTATTGTTATATGCTTTCTTAACCCACTTGTTTTTTTGTCTTCATCTTTAAACAAATTGCTGGTGGTAACTTACAGCTAATTTTTTCTCCTACTCGAGAGAAGCAGTGCAGTGAAAACTATGCAGTTGGGTCTCTTGAGTTGGGCTTCCCTTGTGGCTCAGCTGGTAAAGAATCCACCTGCAATGTGGGAGACCTGGGTTCAATCCCTGGGTTGGGAAGATCCCTGGAGAAGGGAAAGGCTACCCACTCCAGTATTCTGTCCTAGAGAATTCCTTGGACCGTATAGTACATGGGGTCCCAAAGAGTCAGACACGACTGAACAGCTTTCACTTTCACCTTTGAGTTAGAAACATACATCAGCACTGCTACTAGTGTGACCTTGAATGAGTGAGTTACCTTCTCTGAACTCAGTTTCTTCATCTGTAAAATGGGCACAGCAGTAGTTCCTTTACAGATTTTACTTGAGCTGATGTATAAAAGGACCTGGCAAATGTTAGCTACCCTGCCTTTTGTGACCCAGTCACACTGTGGCTCTGCTAATGTGCCCTTCAGCCAGTTAGCGCTGAGCTTCATCTTCCCCATCTGTAAGAGATTGAAATATATGTGACCTGATTAATATGGCGCCTGGAGCACTGTGGCTGCCCAAAAAAAAGACAACTTCCTCTTTTTTCTTTTCTCATAGGACTAGATTAACTGATGTGGAACAGCTGGGATCTACTGAGCAACACAGCCAAAAGCCTTTCCACAGGGCCTTCCCTGATGGTCCAGCGGCTACAAATCTGCCTTACAGTGCAGAGGACGCAGGTTCGAACCCTAGTCAGGGAACTAAGACCCCCACCTGCCCCAGGGCAAGTAAGCCCATAAAGCACAGCTAGAGAAGCCTCTGGACCACAGCTGGAGAAAGCCCGTGGGCCACAACGGAGACCCAGCACAGCAAAAAAAAAAAAGACGGCCTTTCCACAAACCGAACCAGTTAGTCAAAGCCTAAGGCAGCTCTCCTCATCCCTATGGCTGTCTGTCTCCTGTGACTCCCAAACCACTCATAACAATCCTGTGATTCCCGGGCCTCCGGCTTCCCAGACACTGGCAGCCCCCGTGCCTCCGGACCTCCCGCACAATTTGTTGGTGATTTGAAGGAGCAGCTTCCTGTCTAATTCAAGAATCTGGGCTCCACGGTTTATGCTAGAGTCTGCAGTTTCTTCATCACCCGAGTCAAAAGTTTATACTGCAGCAGAAATGACTTGACAGTTTTTCCTAAACTTTTCTGGGTATTCTATTTAAAACCTGGCATCAATAAGAAACAATGTCAAACAGCACATCTTGTGCTAGGACTCAGGCTGGAAGCAGGCATTGCCTCTAAATGAAGGTGCAGCCGAAGTCAGGCCCTCTGATTTAGGAAAAGAAAATAAGAAGAAGTGAAAAAATAGAAATGTTAATTCCTTATATTGCATTTTTGGTGTTTAATAAAATTCCTATGAGTTCCTAGTTGGAAAGTCCTTTTTTTTTTTTTTGAAGAAAGGAGATCCCTGAAAAAGTCACAGTATCTGTTTGTGATTGGCTAACAGCTTTTACGGACAGCATTTGGCTGTCTGCTGCCGAATCTCAGGTTGAAATGCCAAATCTACCTTTTCAAAGACAGAATGTAGTTGATCACATCTGCTTATACAATTACCATGCTTTTTCACTCTTTTGGGCCACATTCAAAAATTTTTATTAAGAAAACCTCTCGTGTGCTGTTATCTAAGTGCTAATGTTTAGGAACACGAGCTCTGTGATTTGAGAACAGGTGTAAAATGTGTAGACCTGCCCTTCCTGTCACCTGATTCTTCTCTAATCCTGTGCTCATCACTTTGTAACCACCATTGCTTGTTTTTTCCCTCTGGGAAAGACTGGGAGGTCAGAAGCCTCTTGTTCTCTTGTGAACCCAGCTGCCAGCACAGGGATCAACTCATTAACTGTTTGTTAAATGTGTAAGTAAAATGTTTGTATGTGTTTTGTGCGTGAATCCTCCTTATTTAACACCAGTGTCCTGTGTTTCCATTCTTCTCAGCATGTATATTTTCTCTTTTGAGGACAGAACAGTTTCTTTAAAATCTATCTTTGACCTTTCGCTTGAGCTTCCCTGGTGACTTTAGTAGGTCAAGAATCCACCTGCAATGCGGGAGACCTGGGTTCAATCCCTGGGTCGGGAAGATCCCCTGGAGGAGGGCATGGCAACCCACTCCAGTATTCTTGCGTGGAGATTCCCATGGACAGAGAAGCCTGGCAGGCTGCAGTTCATGGGGCCACAAAGAGTTGGGTATGACTGAGCGACTAAGCACAGAAGACAGAAAGCTTCGACCCCAAAGGTATTGGCTTATTATTTCTATACGTGTTCATGAAATCTCCATCAAATCTCCCCATGATTCAGGTTCCCTCTTGTATGCAAGGAACAAATACTAAGGAATAGCTGTTGATTTTCATTATCTGCTACAGTTGTTTTCTGTAAAGTTACCACAGATAGTGAGTTAGGGCACACAGAAGCACTGCTCCTGGGGAAAATGTAGTAAGGTTCCCACAAGTCTCTCATCACAATAATTTCATCATCCATCAGTATATAGCCTTGTTTTATGTGTTTCTTTGTTTAAAGACAGATAAGTGAATGATTGAATGAATATACATTTCTCCCTGACTTTGCAGGGGAAAAATGTTTTCTCTGAAATGACAAAGAAAAGATTAGGGATTCTACTTGTTTAAAAAAAATCATAGCCAATTAAGTGCCTACAAAACATGTTTGTAACAACTATGATGAACTTTTCTGGTGGCTCAGCAGTAAAGAATCTGCCTGTTTTATAGGAGACATAGGAGATGCAGGTTCGATCCCTGGGTCAGGAATATCCTCTTGAAAAGGAAATGGCTACCCACTCCAGTATTCTTGCCTGGAAAATCCCATGAACAGAGGAGCCAGTTCACTATAGTCCATCAGTTCAGTTCAGTTCAGTTGCTCAGTCGTGTCTGACTCTCTGTGACCCCATGGACTGCAGCATGCCAAGCTTCCCTATCCATCACCAACTCCCAGAGTTTACTCAAACTCTTCTCCATTGAGTCAGTGATGCCATCCAACCATCTCATCCTCTGTCATCCCCTTCTCCTCCTGATTTCAATCTTTCTCAACATCAGGGTCTTTTCAAATGAGTCAGTTCTTCGCATCAGGTGGCCAAAGTATTGGAGTTTCAGCTTCAGCATCAATCCTTCCAAAGAATATTCAGGACTGATTTCCTTTAGGGTTGACTGGTTTGATTTTCTTGCTGTCCAAGGGACTCTCAAAAGTCTTCTCCAACACTGCAGTTCAAAAGCATCAATTCTTCAGTGCTCAGCTTTCTTTATAGTCCAACTCTCACATCCATACATGTCTACTGGGAAAACCATAGCTTTGACTAGACAGACGTTTGTCAGCAAAGTAATGTCTCTCCTTTTTAATATGCTGTCTAGCTTTTCTTCCAAGGAGCAAGTGCCTTTTTATTTCATGGCTGCAATCACCATCTGCAATGATTTTGGAGCCCCCCAACATAAAGCCTTTCACTGTTTCCATTGTTTCCCCATCTATTTACCATGATGGATGGGATCAGATGTCATGATCTTACTTTTCTGAATGTGGAATTTTAAGCCAACTTTTTCACTCTCCTCTTTCAGTTTCAACAAGAGGCTCTTTAGTTCTTCACTTTCTGCCATAAAGGTGGTGCCATCTGCATATCTGAGGTTAATGATATTTCTCTCGGGCAATCTTGACTCCAGCTTGTGTTTCATCCAGCCCAGCATTTCACATGATGTACTTTGCATATAAGTTAAATCAGCAGGGTGACAATATATAGCCTTGACGTACTCCTTTCCTGATTTGGAACCAGTCTGTTGTTCCATGTCCAGTTCTAACTGTTGCTTCCTGACCTGCATACAGATTTCTCAGGAGGCAGATCAGGTGGTCTGGTATTCCTGTCTCTTGAAGGATTTCCAGTTTGTTGTGATCCACACAGTCAAAGGCTTTGGCATAGTCAATAAAGCAGAAGTAGATGTTTTTCTTGAACTCTCTTGTTTTTTCGATGATCCAACAGATGTTAGCAATTTGATCTCTGATTCCTCTGTTTTTTCTATATCCACCTTGAACATCTGGAAGCCCAGGGTTCACGTACTATTGAAGCCTGGCTTGGAGAATTTTGAGCATTACTTTGCTAGTGTGTGAGATAAGTGCAATTGTGCAGTAGTTTGAATATTCTTTGACATTTCCTTTCTTTGGGAATGGAATGAAAACTGACCTTTTCCAGTTCTGTGGCCACTGCTGAGTTTTCCAAAATTTGCTGGCATATTGAGTGCAGTATTTTCACAGCAAAGTCTTTTAGGATTTGAAATAGCTCAACTGGAATTCTGTCACTTCCACTAGCTCTGTTTGTAGTTACACTTCCTAAGGCCCACTTGACTTTGCATTCCAGGATATCTGGCTCTAGGTGAGGGATCATAGCATTGTGGTTATCTGGGTCATGAAGATCTTTTTTCATAGTTCTTCTGTGTATTCTTGCCACCTCTTCTTAATATCTTCTGCTTCTGTTAGGCCCATACAATTTCTGTCCTTTATTGTGCCCATCTTTGCATGAAATCTTCCCTTGGTATCCCTAATTTTCTTGATGAGATCTCTGATCTTTCCCATTCTATTGTTTTCCTCTATTTCTTTGCACTGATCACTGAGGAAGGCTTTCTTATTCCTCCTTGCTCTTCTTCGGAACTCTGCATTCAGATGGGTATATCTTTCCTTTTCTCCTTTGTCTTTAGCTTCTCTTCTTTTCTCAGCTATTTGTAAGGACTCCTCAGACAACCAATTGGCCTTTTTGCATTTCTTTTTCTTGAGGGTGGTCTTGATCACTGCCTCCTGTACAATGTCATGAACCTCTGTCCATAGTTCTTCAGACACTCTATCAGATCTAATCCCTTGAATCTATTTGTTGTTTCCACTGTATAATTATAAGGGGTTTGATTTAGGTCATACCTGAATGGTCTAGTGGTTTTTCCCTACTTTCTTCAATATAAGCCTGAATTTGGCAATAAGGAGTTAATATTCTGAGCCACAGTCAGCTCCCGGTCTTGTTTTTGCTGACTGTATAGAGCTTCTCCATCTTTGGCTGCAGAAAATATAATCAATCTGATTTCAATATTGACTATCTGGTGATGTCCATGTGTAGAATCTTCTCTTGTGTTTTTGGAAGAGGGTTTTTGCTATGACCAGTGCATTCTCTTGGCCAAACTCTATTAGCCTTTGCCCTTTTTCGTTCTGTATTCCAGGGTCAAACTCGCCTGAGGTTATCTCTTGACTTCCTACTTTTGCATTCCAGTCCCCTAAAATGCAAAATACATCTTTTGGGGGTGTTAGTTCTAGAAGGTCTTGTAGGTCTTCATAGAACCATTCAACTTCAGCTTCTTCAGCATCACTAGTTGGGGCATAGACTTGGATTACTGTGATATTGAATGGTTTGCCTTAGAAATGAACAGATATCAGTCATTTTTGAGGCTGCATCCAAGTCCTGCATTTTGGACTCTCTTGTTGACTATGATAGATACTCCATTTCTTCTAAGGGATTCTTGCCCACAGTAGTAGACATAATGGTCATCTGAATTAAATTCACCCATTCTCATCTGTTAATGTACAATGGTCTTTTTGAGATGCACAAACCATTTTGAAATTTTAAAATTCTTTACTCTTCTCTAAGAACTAATTTTTATGGACCTCCCTGCCGGCTCAGTGGTAAAGAATCTGCCTGCTAATGCAGGAAACTTGAGTTCAATCCCTGGATCAGGAAGATCCCCTGGAGGAGGAAATGGCAACCACTCCAGTGTTCTTGCCTAGGAAATCCCATGGACAAAGAAGCCTGGTGGGCTACCATCCATGGGGATCACAAAACAGTCACATGATTTAGTGACTAAACAAACAACAAAGAACTAATTTTCACCCTATTGAGACCAATAGTGCTCTTATCAAGGACACATTTTTCTAAATGATCTATACTGAACTAGTTTTACTTTGATAATTAGATACAATGTTTTTTAAAAGAAAGTTCTGGAACGGGTAGTATGAACTCAGAAGAATAAATCTCTAATAGTACAGTTTCTCATACTCTAGTACCTGAAATTTTGAAGCAGTTATCTTTCTAACATGTCTAAAATTGCTTATGTAAGTAAACATCTATTCCAACAAATATATCTGTCTCTATATGTGTAATATGAAACTAATATGTATTTTTCAGGGAAGATAAAGTTGAATTTAATAACAACGAATTCTTAAATTACATCCTAGTGTGAACAAAATTATTTTCATGGATATTATTCATTTCTCTTAACCCTGTTCTATAGATGAGGAAAATAAGGCTCAATGGATTAAATAGCTTGCCCAAGGTTACATGATTTGTAAGAAACAGAGTTATCTGATTTCAAAATATTTATTCTTTCCATTACAAGTCGCTCTG